ATCCATATCTTCCGGTGACAAATACCGTCTTCTTTTATAACTAAATTGACTCACCATCTAAACCAAACAACTCCCATGGCGATTGCTCTTGGTATTTGTTTTAGATTGTCTGTCTTATCACATGAAATATCGGTCTTCCTCCTGTTTTAGTCATCCCTCGCACTGTGCTTAAGTTCTGACCAATACAAATTTATTGTAATTTTCAATATTTGTTTTGGATTTTTAATTTTCGCTTATAAATAAGGACTTTTTGTTGTGATATTGATGTCATGTATGTTATGATTCATAACTTTATCAAAAAAATTTGCTTTGTACTTTATTTTTAAATTTTCTTTTTTGATTTTCACTCGTAAATAGTAACAAATTTGTGATACACATGTTTTATATATTATAATTCATTATTTCCTTGATACTTTTAACTTGTATTATCTTTTTTTTTTTCTAATTCATTTTTATATTTTTTTTATTTTATATTTTTTAAATTCTCACATAATATAAAATGGTATGAATTTTCACTTGTTTCGTACTTATTATTTACTAATTTATTATAAATTATAATTATTAATATTTATTAGTAACAATAGCGACTTTAATTTTATAAGCAGGTTATTACTTCTGTTAAATAGTTTTTAAAAATTCAAGAAAAATTATTAAAATTTACTAAACATCTATATATATTTTTTTGAATTATATATGTTACAAAAACTAATATATTGATGCATTTTGAAGTTTATGCGTAAGGTTAAATAAATCCACGATTAAGCTAATTGATTTTGCGTTTGTTATACTATATTTTGACGGTAGGGTCTATGTTCCCAAACCCAAAGCCATGACCTATCCATGGAAGTAGACCCAAAATAAATTTCTATATTCGAATTCGGGTCAATAATTAGGTTATAACTCGAAGCATTTTATGATTCAAATATAAAATTAATCATAAATAATTCATTGACTTATCCTTGTGGATCAAATCAAAGATACTCTTATTGAATTTGAATCAAATGCTACCTAAATCAAATTCATTTACGGCCCGAAAAGTTTTGTTTCACGTCAAATTCGCTTAGATGAATTTAAATTTTTGAATAGAATGCCAAACACCGCCCATTACCCGTAGCACTAACTTCATGACCTATATACATACCATTTAAATACTAGAGTAAACAATTATAGCAAAAGTGTATATATATAACTCATAAAAAACGGATGGGTAATTCCTTTGTCTCCATCTCTGTATTGCGAGTTTTTCAATAGTCGGCACCGTCTGAGTATGTAGACCTTTAAATTACTGCACAAAAACAAAACGTGATTGATTTGATGTGAATGTGATTTGTGTGATATGATGTGTTCTATTTGATTGAAATCGAATTCTACATACGGAAACATCTTTGATATTGCCTTCCTGTCTTGTTTCTCTCTCCCAATTGCAACCGTTGATTTTGCCTAAAACTTTGTGTTTTCTCCTTTTGGGTCAGCAAATGGACGGTCCTGATTTGAAAGGAGAAGTTTCGTTGGAATTTAATCCTTCTTGTTTGCCTTTTATCAACTTTGCCTGTACAGTTGACTTTTGGTTTTGAACTTTGACATGAAAAGCCAATTGTTCATGACAAGAAAAGGTTATATAACTTATATACGTATGTATATATATATATATACACACACATTGCTTTGACCGGTTCTAGAGAGAGAATCTCACAGAGAGAATCTGGATGAAGGTGGATGGTAACCAAAACTTTTCGAGGTTTGCAAAGGAAATCATACTTTTCGTCAATATGGTTTTACAGGGCGTGCACATCACGTGCGGTGCGATGTATGTTAGAATGCGGTTGGGCTAGAAATAGATATATATGTTAAGTCGCATAATCTTTATATGCACGTATCCTTCTTAAGCTTCAAGCTCGCTTCCCACTTTCAAATTCGATTATCCCGTTTTATGTGACTTATAAATGAACTAATAATTGGCTAACACTTTATATTCAAACTATTTCATTAAAAAAATTTGACAATTAGTTGGACTCAATTTAGGTGACAATTTTTTTTCTAGTTTTAAATAGATTTATACACGCATAAAACGATCACTTGTTAAAGTTCAAAGACCAACTAGACTAGTGATTTTTGATAATATATTTATTAGAAAGTTGAATTTGAATTTTATTTTACAAATTTGCTAAGTAAGGATGGAGGTACATGGATGCCCCTTCAAATTTTTTTATTTATTTTATTTTTAAATTTTTTTAGCATTCAATTTAATCTCACAATGATCAGTTAGACACTATTTATTTTCCCAGCGATGGATCATAATTTCTAAAATTGTACCAAAGAAAAAAAATCTTAAATAAAATATCATTGTCACTCCATTTTAAATTTACATATATAAAAATAGATATTAAATTAATGGTATTGTGAGATGGAAAGAGAATACTATGAGAATAGAATAGAGTCACTTTGAGTTTTCTCATAAAATGAAACAAATAAAGAAACTATTGGAACGAAGTTTTGCGGAATTACAATGAAAGCTTCGAATTTTTTTTTTATTTTTTATTTTTTAAAACATTGACAAGAAATTCACATGTTCATTATTTTAAAAGAACAATTTTTAAAAAATTTATATTAATTTTCGGTTGAGATCTGACTTAACACAATTATATTTAAGGTCAATTATTTAGCTGAATCTTTAAAAAATATTCTGAAGCACTCTAATGCTGCTTTTGATGTGCAGGAATAGAATAAAATGCAAGTAAGAATGGAATGAGAATGGGAATGGAATGGAATGGAATGACCATTGTCATTCTATTGTTTAGTTGTAAAATATGAAATCTATAAGAATAGAATGATAATAACCATTTAAATATTTGATTGGACCAATTTTGACTTTAGAATGGAATCAATTTCAAATTAAGTTCTCCAAAATATCCCTGTTAGTAATAAATAAATTAAATTAACAAAATGAAATCCTTCTATAATTTTTTAAAAATAAATCGTGATAGTGGTGGTGGTGACGATGATGGTAGAGGTGAAAAACGGTAGTGGGGCAGGTGGTGGTGTTGGAAGGTGGCGGCGGCGGCAATGGTGGAAGGCGGTGATAGTGAAAGGCGATAGTAGTGGAAAGCGATGGCAGTAGTGTGGTGGTGGTGGTGGAAGGAGATAGTGGTGTAGGGGCGGTGGTGGAAACTAATGGAGGTGACTGTGGTGGTGGTGGTGGAAGGCAGTGAAGGTGGTGATGCTGGAAGGTGGTGGCGGCGGTGGCGATGGAAGGTGGTAGAAGGCGATGACGGTGATGGTGGTAGAAGGCAGTGGCGGCGGTGGTGGTGGGAGGTGGTGAAAGGCGGTGGCGGTGGGGGCGAGGGCGGTAGTAGTGGAGTTGGTAGTGAAAGTGATGGTGGTGGTGGAAGGCGATGACGGTGGTAGTGGCAACGGCGGTGGTGGAAGGCAGTGGAGGTGGTGAAAGGAGGTGGTGTATGGCAGTGGTGGTGGAAGGTAGTGGTGGTGAAAGTCAATAGCGGCGGCGGTAGTGGTGAAAGGCAGAGGTGGTTATGGTGAAATGTGGTGGTGATTTTTATGGTGAAATGTGGTGGTGATTTTTGGGTTTGAAATATGAGAGTTTTTTAAAAAGTTAATTTTTAAAAAAAAATTACATAGGAATGAATTTTTATTTGAATGGAATGACTATTTCCACCTTAAATATACCAAACAAATGAATGATTGGAATAAACATTATATTCTATTTCATTTCTGCACACCACGCAATATAAAAGTGAAAACCAATTTTTAGATAAAAGTGTCATGTAAAAATATATATATTTTTTTTCTAATATATTGTAAATAAATAAATCTAAAAATAAGATTAGTGGTTCTTTAAGAAGCAATTTCACACGGTATTAATGTTTCTCACGCGCCTTAAAAAGGAATGTGGGGTACGTTTATCATTTAATTCCAATATGAAATCCGCCTTAAGAGGTTTGTTGCTACATTCTTTATTCCTTACTGAGAAGAGAAACCTTTGTTTTTTTTTTTTTTTTTTTCTTTTTGTTTTTTTCGGTAATTAAATAATAAATTGCAAAAATAAAATATTTACAGAAATAAACCTTTCTTTTTTTGTTCTTTTATTTTTTATTTTTTATTTTTTATGGAATTTATTTTTGACAGCTATTTAGGCACCGTGTCTTAAATAAAGGCATTTACAACTTTACAAGTCCACATTACCCTAATATGTCGGGTCTAAATAGACCCTACCCAACTATTAGGAATGCAAATTGGACAAGTATCTACTTTTGAATTCAATTCCAACTTATTATTAAAATATTTCTAATTACAACAATTTACATTTAACTTGATTAATTCATCAAGCCAAGTCTAATCCACCAAACTCTATTCTAAAGGATAGTTCACATCCTGAGGATCAAAAGTTCAAATTAACATAAAGGTTGGTTTCAAATATGTATATTTTTAATAGTCTTGTGCATGTTCCACAGAAGACGGTATGTTTCGGGTGAAAATTTATAAAATGCTATATATAATCGACAAAAGGAAAAAAAAAAAAAAAAAAAATGAATCTAAGCATAATAAAACTTTAATTTGACTAATCAGTTGGAATTAAGTTTGTTTAATTTAATTAATGTTACATTTGATGATACTGATTCAACGTCTTGAATTTAAGATTAAAAAAAATTGTAATATAAATTTTAAATTAAAAATTTTCAAATCCCAAAAGAAAAGTTATAAGCAGAATTTTTTTTTAGTAATAAGAGAGTACAAATAATTCTTAGATTTATGAGATGCTTTGAGAGTGGTCCGAGAAAAATATAAATAAATAAATATAGAGTGAGTTGTGCGAAAACCAAAATAGAAGGGTATAAATGTCTTTTGAGAGATGGGTAAATTTGTGAAGAAAAATGGGAGCGCCCTCTTATCCAACAAGAAGGTGGGCGGGCGAATCACTATTGCTGTCCTTAATTTGTTTTTATCATGAATACAACACAGCATTTATTATTTACAGAGAAAAATATATAGGACTGGTACTAATTGATTCATGGGCTTTTGTGATCATGACGACGTTGGCGTATTACAAATTCTAGAGAGAGAAAGTAGGAGAGAGAAGGGTCAAAGCAGCAGCAGGAGCAGCGCAGCAGTTTGTATTTGTAATGATTTCGGGAAGAAGATCAGAAACTCGTGATGAGAATTTTTCTTTGCAGGGTTAGAAGCAGATTAAGCAGTAGACCAAAGGAATTTACAGACACCCTCTTTAGTTTCTTATTTGCTCCTCTTTCTCTCGTGATCTTCTCTTTCTCTCTCCTCACCTTTTCCTTCCTTAATATCAAATACCCATCTTTTCTTTTCCTTTCCTCTCTGCATATACTACTGTAGCTTTAAAACCTAGTAGACAGTTGAAGAAGTGTTGTGATTGTGAAGATAGAGATATATACCCATTTGGGTTTAAGTGGTTTTTTTGAAAGATAAATATATATTGTTGTGTGTGTTAGTTAGAGATTGATATATATATATATATAGAGAGAGAGAGAGAGAGAGAGGGAAATGGGTAGTTGTGGAAGGAATGGAGCTGTGAGGCAGTATATAAGATCAAAAGTGCCTCGTTTGAGATGGACTCCTGATCTTCATCACTGTTTTGTTCATGCCATCGATAGGCTTGGTGGTCAAGATAGTAAGTTTTTATATATGCTCACCCTCTCTTTAGATTTTTTGGGTTATTATTTTTTTGATCTTATAGTGTTCTTATTATCCCTCTCTCTAATTTTTGTTGGTTCACTCTTGTTTTGGTCTTTAGATTTTTATTTTTTCAGTTTTTGATCACAAAAGATTGATAAACTTTTTTTTTTTTCTGGTGTTTGTGCTTATTTGTAGAGGCCACACCTAAGCTTGTTCTTCAGATGATGAATGTGAGAGGACTCACCATTTCTCATGTCAAAAGCCACCTCCAGGTTGGTTTTTGGTTTTTTTTCCCCCTTTAATTCATGACTTGGGTTTCAATTTTCTCACCATAATATGTTATATATGATCTTTTTACACAACTACTAATTTCTCTTCTATTTGGGTTTTTTTGTTCTGATCAGATGTATAGAAGCATGAAGAGTGATCTTACCAGACAAGGTGTCCAAAGTTTGCAACTCCTTGGCCTATTTTTTTGTATTTAAGAAGAAACATTATTTATCCCAACTACTACATATATATTCATATTAATGTTGGCATTTGTTTCCCATCAAAACCTCATTTAATTATTGATCTGAAGTGGGACGTTGTATTCAATTGACCATGTGTTTTTATATATTCTGCAAAGACCACTTTCTACTCATACTTCCAAACTTTCCCCTACTAGTACGTATCCATGTCCAGAATCAAAGTTTAATAAATCAAATCTTCATGTATCTTTTGGAAATGAGTAACTATCTTTTCTTCATTTAATCTCTCTTTCCCAATATAGTTACTCTTTAGCCAAAATATAGTTACTCCCGCTATCCTTTTAAATCTTCCAATATTGGCATTTCTATATGAAACCACAAACCCCATTTCAAACTGCACAGTTAATTTTCCCATTCTTTTCTTTTCCTTTTTCGAATCAAAACCTTTATAAATACTATTCCCATTTTCCCTTTACTTGCTTGGCATAAGACACAAAAACAACATAAAAAGGATACTTCGTAAAAAAATTATTTTACTCTTAAAACAAATCTGTATTTAATTTTGTGTACTTGTCGCGTTTGTGTTTTTGTCTTATGGCAAACAACAGATAGGGGTTCCATCCAAGAAAGAAAGCAACAATCTTTTGAAGATCATGATGATGATGGGTGTGTTGATCAAGAAATTGACCATGTGGGTGGTAATTACCATCATCCGTCATCTTTGCTGCTGCAGCAGCCCATTGAAGAATCAGAATCCAAGTTCATTTACACTCCTCTCCCTACAAAAAGGTGATCCATCATGCCCTCAAACCCCAAAAAGGGTGGTTGTTGTGCTGCTGCCAAGAATCAAAAAAGGAGATTGCATTTATGTTTTATATATATATATATATATATTGTTTGTATGTATGCATGTAGTTTTTGATCTTGATGTTCTTTTTGTTTGCTAACATGTAATATTCCTTTCCTCAGAGCTCGAATCGAGACGATGAGTTCCATTTCAGAGAAGCATCTGCAATGCAGCCAAAGAATATGTGAGACAGTCGCAAATCCGTACTGCTTTGATGATTATATGGGTGAGAAAAGTGAAGAAGAAGGAATAAAGGAGGTGATGGTGGAGACTACTGCCTTCAGATGGCAGCAGCAGCAGCAGACCACCCATGAATTAGCAGCAGCAGCAGCTCCTCCAATGTCCGCACAACATCATTTTTACAAGCTCAAATATCCCCTCCTTCATCAAGTGGAACAAGAATCTCATTTCCTCCAGGTACACTGACCACTCTCTCTCTCTCTCTCTCTCTCTCTCTCTCAACACTATATATATATATATATATATATATAGTGTAGGAGTAATAGTATACTAGTATTTTCTTTTTCTTTTTCTTTTTACCAGCTTTATAGTTTATTGGAGTTGAGTGTAGTGTTGGTTTTCTTGGGTAACTTTCAACTCTAGTACTAGTACTTCTGAATTATTCTTTACTTTTACTGTTTGTATTTACTATAAGATGCTCATGACTTAATTGACCAGTGGATGCATGGATAATCCATGCTTTTTGGTGCAACCCTTTGTGTGTTAAGGCTTTTAGAGCTAGAGAGATCATTATAGGACAGTTTCTTTAGTACCCATTTTTAATTTGAGAGCAAAATAAGACAATTTCTGTGGCACCCATTTTTTGTTTTTATGGTAAGTGAACAAAAATGCTCCAAAAATAGAATTTTATGGAGACTGATGATGTGCCTTAAGTTCTTAGTATCATCTTAAAACCTATAAAAGACCATTAGTATCATACTCATTTTTCAAAACACCACTGTCACTTGCAAGCTTGGACTAACAGCACTGAGATTTGTAACTTTTTGAGTATGAGAGATTGAGAGGAGCAAACATTTTAGGTCAAATAATGCCAAATTTTATGTTTTTGTATTAGTGCCTTTTCATCTTTAGTTGTCCTGTTAAATATAAAACACCTTTGTTTTAAGTTTACATTTTAAAAGATAAAAGTTCTCATAGAATGAAATTAGAAAAAGCTGTTTGGTTGGTGGGAAAATGATTCACACAATAATATTTGGAAAAATCTTGCTAACATTTCTCTTTAGTCTGACACCAAAAAAATTTCTGTTGCCTCTTCCAAACGCCCTTTTAGTTTTTGTGACTGTCATTTGACTGTACATGCACAACTTAATTGTGAGTCTATTTTCTCATATATAAGCATTTTCATGGTTAGTTGCTGAATAAATTGTTATGATTGACTGGTAAAACTTTATGCGTTCAATCTGATTTTATTAAGAGGGATTGGGACCTCTCTTTGTATTCAAAGTTGAAATCCAAGATGGCCATTTAATGCACTTGACCAGTACAACATATGCCTACAGAAAAAGCAGTAATAGCAGTGTCCTCTCAAGTTGTTGGCCACCCCCATTCATCAAGTATAGGGTTGTCCTACTTTTTGTTTTTGTTTTTTTCCCTATTTGAAACTTACACTCACTTTGCCCTAGCTTATTTGGGACTTAATCCTCGACATTTCACTTCAGAACGTGACGAACTACCATTAGGTTATAGGAGAGGATCTAAGTATCACCCGAAAAAGAAAATCACTTTTTTTTGTCTTTCTAAAATTTGATTTCTGAATATAAAAACATAACCGCTCATATTATATTTATAATATTGCCTTATATCTATTATTTTATGTTTATAAGATATGAATCCATCAATTTGACAATAAGTTTTTTAATTTTTTTTTGGTTTTGATCGTTGTGTTTTATGTCACAGGCTGCTGAAGAAGATAAAAGATGTTCATCATCAAAGAGGTGCAGATTTGAGAATTACGGAAATGGACACGCAGAGGATGAAGAAGCTGGTGGTGGTTGTGGACTGTCATTGTCACTCTCATTGCATCATCCCTCCACACAAAGAAGTAATGCATCTTCAATGAGTGAGATCAGTGAGGCAATCTCTTCATATTCTAGGTCTAACTTAAATGACTGCTCTGGTTCATCTCCGAAGCATAGGGTTAACTTGGATCTATCTATTGCTCTCTGTGGCACCTGAATTTTCATCTTAAAAATTGTATGTTTTTTTGGTAAATTTCATCATTATTATGTTCTTCCGCATGGTTTAGTTTTGTATTCACTTTTGGGTTTAAATTTTATGAACTTATCTATCAAAAATTTTTTTTTTTTCGTCATATATATATATATATATACACATTGCAGAAAAAATAAATATACGTTGTGGTTGGATGCGAGGGAGTTTCAGGGAAAGGAAAGAGGAGGAAGAATTTTTTTTTTGTTTTGAGTATCACTACCCTAAAGTGGTAGAATGTGGAAGGAAATTATATAAGAGTTGGGGTTATCAATTTTGTCTATGCATTTTAGAACAAGTGACTTGAGAGGAAAAACAATAAAAAGTAAACTTTTCTTGCAGCAATATTTCCCAAAGACAATAAAAAGTTCGCACCATTCCTTTTTTTCACTAGTTATCCAAACAGAGAGCTTAAAATCCTCCACTAGAATAAATAATTAAATAAAGAAGGTGTAGGTGCCAAAATTAGTCATTTTGAAAAGCTAAATAATAAACACAACACACCCAATGAAAGTAATCAAAACAATGTAAAGTAAAGATTGAGGTTTCGATATATATGGAAGTCTGTGCCTTTATTTATACAATATTTAGTAGTGCAATTAGGGAATGACTCAGCGTTGCTTGCCCCCAACGAATAGTCCACAATCAGTGGTTCCTTTTTGTAATTCTTCCATATGCGACTCCTTCTATACCAGACTCCTTTTCATATCCTCAATTGTGTGATTGATAAATTGCAAATCAGCGGACCTTCCTTATGGCCGACTAAGGGTTGGACCAAAGGTATATGTTTTGGGCCCATCTTATTAGCTGGGATGGAAGACTAAGGAAATATGCTTGGGCCTTCTAAGTTGGGCTTTCAAAGTTGGATAACCCAAACAGAAATATTGTAAAGTCACGTATGGGTGGTAGAGCCCCTGAGAATTTGCTCCTAGCTAGTGGAACAAGTAAAGGCATGGGAGTGAAGGAGCGTTGCTTGGGCCGAGTTAAGTAAAGACTGGCTGCCTATAATAGAATATAAAGATCCCTCACTGCACACGTTATATATATTTCTCTCCATTATCGGCTGCATGCTATAGTGTTGAATCGGAGATAGAACAACGGGTAGATTACACAATTCTGAATCCGCTATGACTGTCGTTTTTGATGTCGAAACGGTCTTTATCCATGAGCAATGAGTTTCTTCAATAGGAAATAGACAAGAATCTCACTTTGATGAAAGGATAGTATTTAAGGAAGCTTTGATTTTCTTGCGCTTATCTGGTTCAGTTGATGCATGGCGAAAAGGAGCATTGGAATGGTCTTAGCGCCCACCTTGCCACCAATTCCCTCCTAAATTGAGTAATGGTTCCTATTTAGAAGGAAATTGAAATCGCACAGTCACTATTATTGTAAAGGACGGTTTGGATTGTGGCTATTGGTATTCCGACTCAACTTCCTCCAAGGCTTGCTTCTACCACCGTCGCTCCTTCGTTGCTTGGGCCACTTCATTTCTCAGGTTAGTTTGTGCTTCTTTTGTAGTTACGCATTCATGAGTTCTTCGTCTGCTCATGATCGAGTAGAGAGTATGGACTTTGAGGGCACTCCTTCTGCATCTCTCGTCCGCATTAGATCTCCACCCCCAAAATTCCCTGATTCTCGTGATATACTGTGAGAGGGGATGATTCCTTGCATCAAGTGGAGGAATCCACTTCCGGATTTGAGGAAGTATTTACCAAGGCTTAGAAGGATGTAATTTTGTCACTCCGTCGCCTCAAGTTCTCTATTGACTTTGTTGTGGAGGAGTTTGAGATTCTTGAGGGAGTGGAGATAAAAGAATATCCTTCTGATGTTGATTTTAGTTTCGGTGAGGCAATTGCCGAGGACGAGTTACTTTTATCTGTTGGTCACCTCCATGCCCTTCGTTTTCCCTCACATCCTTTCTATCATTTAGTTTTGAATAAATTGGGGATTGCGCCTCTTCAAGTAAACCCTAACTTTTTTAGATTAGTTTTCGCCCTCCTTGTTTACCGAAGGTTGGAAGGGATCGATCTGAATATAACTGATTTCTTGTTCAGTTACACAATTTGTAAGCATTAAACTAAGATAGATCGGTATTACCTTTCTTCGCCTCTTCAGAAGAGGTTATGTGCGGACCTCCTTATCTCTGAAAAGAGGTGGAAGAAGATGATGATTATTGTTCGAGGAAAATGGTTCGTGTCTCAATCCAAAGATCTCCCCATCTCTCGTAAGGTTGGGATTTTAGGTATAGAGAGACTCTCCTCTTTCCACCTGGAGTTTTTTTGTTGTTTTTCATGCCAAGTTTTGCTTTTTCGTCATATTTATGATTTTCTTGGTGTTTTTTCAGCATCATTTCTGTCCTTAGTGACTAAGAAGAGGCTTACTTTTCTCCAAGAAAAGGTTTGGAAGAACCCTCCGTCTGTCGAGGTCCTTCTTTCTTCAACTCACCTTCAAGAACTTACGTCCAATGCCTTACCAGTTAATCTCATGGATTTATCCTTTCCTTCTTTTCATGACTTAGCTTTGACTGATGAAGAAAAGGGGAGGGTTGAAGAGCTCCAAAAGAAAGCTGCGGAGGAGGAGCCCTTAGCGGTTGTCCGCTCCACAAAGCGAGACAAAGAGGTTAAAGAGGCTCCTTTGAGGAAAATGCAAAGGAAAAATTCTTCCTCAATCGTCAAAGGCAAATGTGTTGATCTTGGCAAGGGGAAGGGAAAAGAGCCTGAAGATGTTGGCGCTAAAGAAAAAGTTCGAGCTCATGTTATGGCCAACGCGGGAGAATCCTAGAGGCTGTTTTTTATTAAGGTTTGAAAAATCCTTTACTCTGGTGATTCTACAGTGTATGGCCAACGTGGGAGAATCCTGGAGGCTGTTTTTTTTTAAGGATGAGGAGCTGATTGGGAAGATGGGCTTGGGGAAACTTCTTCCCTGCACCAGTGTGAGCCATGGAGGTTCATTCTTTCCTCTTCTTTCTTTATTTTGAGTATTATGATCTTTCTTCATTCTGCCAACCTTTTATTCAACCTTAATTATCTTCGCAGCGTCTATTTCATACTATGGCTCTGTGTGCTACTGCTGAAGCGTAGTCTCTTTCCATTCAAAAGATAGAAAAATATCTTGCAGCTGTAGTGAAGGAGGCCACCAATGGAAAGACTAACCTCAAGATATGCTCTGAAGTCAGGGACGTATACAAGAGGTAGCTTTTGGCTTCCCAAAGAAGGGTGCAGGAGCTGGAAGCCGAAAATCAACGATGGAGAGAGTCTGTCTTGACATGCATAACTGCTGGGAAGTAAATGCAGGAGTGTTAATTCAGAATCGTGCGCTTATCCAGCGCTAAGGCTTCCAGATCTGGCTTCATCCAGGGTTCTGGAGATAAAAAGAGGACTCTGGAGTCCTTTGACAAAGATATGGGGATCTCATTCCCTTATGTGGACGGTCTGAAGGCTTAGGAGGCCGAGGTGCTGTTTTTGAGATGGTGAAGGGTAATCAACCAGGCCTTCAAGCTCTTAGTTCATCAGCTGCTCTGGCCAATGCCCCGGGCCATAATGTTGTTGTTTTTCCCCTCACTCCTTTTGATCCCAAGAAAAAGTGAATTTGCTCTTGAGTTTTTGTAACTTCTAAGTGGACGGATTCTCTTATTTTGAACAATATATATAATTTTTCTGTTTTGAATCTATGTGTGTGGTGTGATTCTCTTGTCTTGTTTATCCTTAATATTCTTCTATGTCATAGAAAAATTCTTTGTTTTTGTTGCCTTCGGATTCTTTGAGGTCTAAGGTTATTTTTTATTTCTTGGCATTCTTCTGTGCCTGGGAGGAAATCCTTGTTTTTGTCGCCTTTAGACTCTTTGAGGTCTGAGGTATTTTTTAATCCTCAGCATTCTTCTATGCCTTAGATGAAATCCTTATTTTGCCGCCTTCAGACTCTGTAAGGTACGAGGCTATTTTTTATTCCTTGGCATTCTTTTATACCTTAGAGGAAATTTTTTGTTTTTGTTACCTTCAGACTCTTTGAGGTCCGAGGCTATTTTTATTCCTCGGCATTCTTCTATGCCTTGGAGGAAATTTTTATTTTTGCTGCCTTCGGACTCTTTGAGGTCCGAGGCTATTTTTTATTCCTCGGCATTCTTCTATGCCTTAAAGGAAGTTATTTGTTTTGGTTACCTTCGGACTCTTTGAGGTCCTAGGTTATTTTTATTCCTAGGCACTATTCTATGAGGAAATTTTTGTTTTTGCTGCCTTCGAACTCTTTGAGGTCCAAGGCTATTTTTTATTCCTCGGCATTCTTCTATGCCTAAAAGGAAATTCTTGTTTTTGCTGCCTTTGGACTCTTTGAGGTCCCAGGCATTTTGGGTCTGATAAAAACAAAAAAGGGGATTGAAAAAAAGAGTTTCCCATGATAAGTAGGTTACCAGCTGGACGGTCAACATGCCATCTGATGACTTCTTATCATGGTGACACTTTCTTGGCGCTAACCTATAATGAGGTACGGTTATATTAACCTCCCTTACATTTAATTTCTTTTCGATGTGGGACATAATGGGAGTGAATAAAACCCCTTTTTTTTTTTTTTTTTTTTTTTCACACTGGGCCTAGCTTACAAGGCTAATGTCTTGGGGGGCCTGTGACTTTTTAGGCCTCTTTTGAAAAAGATTGTTGTAAAGAGTGCCCATTGGCGGTAAGGCTTGGGCTTAGCTTTTGCTGGGCCGCCTTTAGTGCCAATGGGCTCTCCTTGCAACTTGCTTATACAATAAAGTATTTCTATATATAAAGGAGGTTTGGATATTTTTTTTGTCTTATGTGGAATAAAAAGGGAAGTACTATTTGTGTCCTACCTAGTACGAAAGGGAAGTCACATTTCCTATTCCTAATTCATGGTACTAATCTCATTTTTAGGGTACTAGTCCTTCCCTAGATTATGAAGGAAAATGTGACTTTTTTTTTTTTTTTGGGTGAGAATGACCCGTTACTTTTACTTCCTTTTGTAGCTATTTTTATGGGAAAATGACTATGTAGAAAGCAATTTTCGTCCCACATTGACTAAAAAGTAATGTGCATGTCAAATTACATGTGTTAGGGAGCGTCTTCTCTAGTGTAATGGGGACCTTCTGGTACATGGGATCTTAACGTGTATCCGACGCTCTCCATTTTTGTTAAATCGAATTTGTGAGACACATTCTATTTATGTCACATCATACCCGTATATGTGCGGACGTGAGCGTGTACTAAGCCGTAATAAAATTTTGTAGCATAATTTATTGAAAGGGCCCTTATTTTATTGAAGAAAACAACATGTATTGATCTATCACCCATACTTGGTGGTAGTACCTTTTGAGGTGATTGTGTTCCAAGGTCGTGCAAGTGCTCACCGTTGCCTTCGGCTAGCCTGTAGGCTCCTTTTCCCACTATTTCGGCAACCTTATAGGGTCCGGTCCAGTTGGACTGTAACTTCTTCACATGAGTTGTCTCTTGCTTTAGCGCCCAATCTGCCACTGCAAAACTCCTAGCTTGACCCGCTTGTTGTCATTATTTTACAGCTACTGCTGATACGAAGCGAGTTTTATTGCTGCGGTTTCTCCCCTCTCTCTCGCTGTGCCTCTGTCTATATAATTTTCAATGGTGCAATTGGGGAATGACTAGCGTTGCTTGCCCTGCACGAATAGTCCACAATCAGTGGTTCCGTTTTGTAATTCTTAAATATGAGACTCCTTCCATATCCTCAATTGTGTGATTGATAATTGCAAATCCTTCCTTATGGCCGGCTAAGGGTTGGACCGAGTTTTGGGCCCATCTTATTAGCTGGGCTTGGAAACTGAGGAAATATCCTTGGGCCTTCTAGGCACCACACCCCCCCCCCCCCCCCCCCCCCCCCCCCGCCCGCCAAACAGAAGGTAAATTGATTTCTCTTTTGCTTCTCAAAAATGATTTCCAAAAGCTAACAAATTAGAAGAAAGTTCTTTTATCTTGTGCGGTTTAGAAAAGCCCTTCTGGTTTGAAATACTTGACGATGATGATTTCAAATTATTCACAAGATACAAAAATTTTGGGGCAAATTGGAGTCCAAGAAGTGCTAACGCCAGGTTATCATATACACATCGTCCATGTATTTATTTTTTTCCCCAATATACATCGTCCATCCAAGTCCAGTATATGCTAGACATTCTATTCTACCTGTTCTGAGGCGACTCTCGTTGGGTGGATATTGTGCTTTGTGCAATTTTCATGTTCACTATTTTCAAATTGCTTAGCCAGCTTTCCAAGGTTTTTAAAAAGCGTCTATACAATTAGAAAATAGTGAGAATGAGATATGAACATCAACCTAAACTAACTCCAAGTTTTAAAGATGGTTTGAACATGTACAAACAAAATCTTTAAATGCCCTAATTAAAAAGAGTGACGCCATTCAGAGTTACCCTAAGAGAAGAGGAAGACTAAATTAAAGCTCACGACCTTAAATATAGCAAAATAGATACTATTATAACCTTAAATATAGCACAATAGAAACATAAGATTCATGTATCCCATCCCAAATAGTAGTGAAAAAAAAAAAAAAAACAAAACCTTTTCTTATTTTCCGGTTCGGTATCTTAACTTGATTTTCCTCTCCACATACCATCCATATCCATATCCTAATTAAAAAGAGGGACATCATTAAGAGTTACACTAGGAGAAGAGGAAGACCAAATTAAAGCGAGTAAAATTAGTAATTGCACGAGATTTGATTGTGACTATAACCTTAAATATAAGCAAAATAGATACTATCATAACCTTAAATATAACAGAATAGAAACATAGGATTCATGTATCCCATCCCAAATAGTAGTGAAAAAAAAATAAAAAAAAGCTCATATTATTTTCCGTTCAGTATCTTAACTCGATTTTCCTCTCCATATATCCATATCCATGTCCACCATTCTTGTATTCTTCTACTCCAATGATGGAGAAGAGTTGTGCTGTGTGTGTGTGTGTGTGTGTGAGAGAGAGAGAGAGAGAGAGAGTGGGTGGGAATCAACCTCCATTAAATGGCAGGACACTTCAAGCTTTCTTTTTTACCACCCTTTCAAAAATTGGTCAACCAATATGACAGCAGATAATTGCAGAAAGCGTAGTGTCACGCCCCGCCTATGGAGGTTGTGCCACGCAGGCGACACGCAGACGCTGAGGAGGACGCTGTATGGCAACTACATGGCAAGTGGAGTTTCTAGAGTCTTCCGGAGTAGTCTAGAGTTGTGTGGAAGATTCTAAATATGTGTAGTATATTCTAGAAATGTGTGGAAGGTTCTAGAATTCTCCAGAATTGTGTGGAGTAGTATGGAGGGTTCTAGAATGTTGTAGATATGTATGCAGATGTGTAGAAGGTGGAAGAAGATTCTAGAGAATCAATCTCCACCGTTGGTTAGAATGCATCCTAGCCATCCATTAGGGATGGGGATGCCTATAAATAGGAGTAGGACTTCATTTTGCAACCAACAAGTCCTGGAGTGAGTCTTGAGAGCCTTGTAGAGAGCTTGAGTGTTAGCCTTGTACAAAGCATTCTTTGAAGTAATAGAAGTGTTCTTTCCTTGCCAACTTAAGTGCCTTAGTGTGTGTGAGTGTGCAAGCCAAGTGAGGAGAGGGCGAGGGCAACTACAACACTAGTAAGCGCACGAGGGGAGTGTGTTGGCTAAGGTGTGCACAGGAGTTAGGCTGACCAAGAACTTGCGAGAGTGAAAGCAACGTCTTGGTGCCGCACGGGAGCAGCTAAAGTGGTGCTGAAACTCTAAGCCCGTGACAATAGGCTCTATAGCGTGCCCTTGGTCAGCTACACAATTTAACATTCCATCTTCTACTACAATCAACTCACAACCACCAAATCAACCCAGTATTTGCAATTCAAGCTTGTTAATCAAAACTCTGCTCAAGCTCCAATAGTCTTCAGCTATAAGTGTATAAACTCGGCCGCCCCGTTTTCTGCTCACTTAAATGCTCACTTAAATCAAACTTTGTCCTTAATCCCATATGAACGAGGTTGGTTACATGAATTCTCTCTCCAAACACCTCGTCTAGTCTTTCTAGACCTTAAACTCAAGCTCAAATTCAATCAATATTGATAAAAAGAGGAAACTGGAATCAGTTATAAAGGCAAACAAAGCCTAACAAACAACCCATGCCACCAAGATGTTTGTGATTTGTTTGACTCTGATTCATGAACTTAACAAGGTAAAAAAATATTGTAGTAACTCGGCTCACGAACAGCTCCATTCGTTTCCATCACTATAAAATTTACAAATCAGAAAAGAGGAGATTGATAGAGATACCATGAAGTAGGAGCTAAAATTTTATTCATTGAGAAACATGTGACATCTTAACATTCTGCCACCACCAAAGAAAAGTATAAAATAAAATAAATAAATAAATAAAACCACTAAAGATAGAAACAGAATACAACATAGGTCATACAACACATGTTACCCTACCTGACTGTAAATAGTTCTCCGGAGTCCAGAACAGAGAATAACAAAGCTACCTCCTGACTGTAAATAGTTCTCCGGAGTCCAGAACAGAGAAAGAACAACAAAGCTTTGGGCCGATTAATCATCTTTTTTCTTTCTCATATTCTTCCTACCTTCAATGCCTCAACTCAACATATAGACATAGTGTTGTCCAAATATGGTGACATGCTCCTGTAGAATGCTTTGCAACCATAAAACCTTCCAATGCAAAGTTAAAATCATTATTAGTTCAAATCTAGCCAAAGCGTATTTTGAAGGAATACCTACCCAAACTATCAATATTGTTGTGCAAACCCAAGAAAACTTCGATTTCAAGCCTGACACAAAACCAATTCAAAAGCTGGTGTTTGGACTAGGATGTTCTGCTAACATATTTAAATCTAATTATGACTTTTAACAAGAAGATTTACACTTATTTGGCTCTATCTACTTTCACAAACCAATTCAAGTGTTTGTTGATGTTGGTAAGTCAAGTAGACAACCTTTAACTAAGATAACCCTGCAACAATCATGAAAAATAAAAAATGGAAAAAAGAGTGAAAGAATCTTGAATACATATTACCTATGAAGCATGGACACGATGGATATATGATTCAAATAGACATGATATGAACAATGCGAAGTGCCAACAAAGGATACGACAATATTTATGTGTGAATATATTTTTCAGTGAGAAGAAAAACGAGTATAATTGTAGATATGTATAAAAAGTAAAATATTATGCATGTGCTAAAATAAAATAATATGTGCTAAAATAAAATAATGATTGTTCGCCATGTTATATAAATTATAATTAATGTATAAAAAAGTTATAGCAAACAAGTTGAAACTAATATTGTGTGGACATAAACTTTGAATTATTAGACATGATATGTTCTCATCATATATATTCTTTTTTGAAGACATTTCAATTATTTGGAACCCATATTATGCTTTTCCTACCAATTGTGCTATGATATCAATATCATATTTTAAAAGTAATTAATGTTCAAGAGCTGTTAGCCAGGCTGATCATGATATATATACACACACGGTGTATACTCCGTTTTGAGATGTTCATCTCTTACGTGGTTCTGTTAGGCATAAGTATTTCAAGAATCATTGTATATGTGGCTAAACTAATCTGAGAAATATCAGATACGTGTCCGAAATAAAAAATAATAATAATAATTTCAAATTACGAATATGTTTCGGAAATAGCCAACAAGTATCAATGAGTAATCAAGGATTATTTATATCCAATACGGATATGTCCCACTTATAAAATTATCAAAAGCAGGTTACATTATTCAGATGGAGTCTCTGTTCATCATATTATTTAGTCATATAACATTACCACTAAAAAGGGCTTAATTTCAATATGTCATTAGGTTTCTTATCTCTACTGTCCCTCCTACTGGTATTCTAAATCATAGATATTATAACTTTTGCGTTTTATCTGCAGAAATATCTTTACAATAACCTTTGCCTATTTATGATGTACATCCTGTAAATATTCCCCAACTTGGTAACAAATTATTTAGAAGTTTATCTTCTCACATTCACCAACATTGATACAAGTGATACTGTTGAAATTCTTTGAAACTAAAGACTTACCTTAAATTGTTTGATTCTTAGAAAAAAGGACCTGCAAATATATACACAGTTCAATTCAATCTTCCTATCCTCGTTCAACGTCCTTATTTAGGGGGTTGTGGTGGCGGAGAGCATCGAGACTGGAAGAAAAAGTTACAATTAAAAAAGAACCACGTAAGAGATGAACATCTCAAAACGGAGTATACACTGTGTGTGTGTGTGTGTGTGTGTGTGTGTGTATTAAAGACAGACACATATCATGCCAGAAAAGCACCCACCATACCTGCAGTTATGTGGAACCCTCCAGGTTGATATCAATGATCTTTTCAAGCTTAGTGGCAAAGACATATATAGTTTCCAATCTTGTAGCATAATTCTAAGATCATGAAGTTTGCTATCCAAACCAAAACAACAATTTGCATGCATCGTACACACTTGATTGAAATCTTTGCTCGGTTCACAAAGCCCACCGAAATAGGCAGTATTCAAGAATCTCATCTTCAGGTCAATGTCTATGATGAAAGAATCATATTTGATATTATTAAGGACATCCTGATCATGATATTCTGGATATGTCTCTCGTTTGGAATACCAGAACTTGTAAAATTCTATTGACCGGTTATTAGATCTTACAAACTTAAATCCTCCATTAGGTTTGTTCCTATTATCGGACGAGTTGCCTGAGAATGAATCACATGCAATCTGAAAATCAGCATCTGAATAGAAGTGTGGAAATGGGTCCCTGAACCACATGATATCAGCATCCTGGAGGAGAAAAACCAACAAAAAAACAGTGACTGAATTTGGAGAAACATTTTTCCAGAAGGATGAGCATGTTTGGATAAGATAAATGACGTTAAAATGGAGGTCAGCATGCAAAAAGACAAAATAAGTTGGATAATGATGACTGAAGAAATCAAACAATAAATACCAATCTTTCAAAAAAATTGTCAAATAATCCATAAATGGATATCATAGAGAAGGTCCAAACACCAGTGCTGAACACTGCCATTGATGCGGAAAGGATCTAAAAAACCAGCATATTTTGAGAATCAAATTTCATTTCTTTTCTCAACGGGCCATTTTTAGTTTATCCACGGGGGAACAGGAGGTGTTAAAATTTTCTCAAAATTTCATTTCTTTTCTTAACGGGGCATTATTAGTTTATCCACAGGGGAAGAGGAGGTGTTAAAATCAAGCTACAGAAAAGTGAAAAATCGAAAAGACCAAAGGCTACATCCTAAAATGACACAAGACTGTCGACACTTCTGAAACTTTGTAGCAATTCAATGTTGAGCACAACCGTAAATTTTTTTAATCAAATACTTATTGGTTGCTTCCGGATTCTTAACCACTCCAAGCTGTTCCACAACTGCAGATTAACTGTATACCACATTTTCTTTCGCAATTCTCATTTCCTCCCTAGTCCTGTACTGCATTTTCTTTCACATCCCCTAATTATTTTAGTTTCTTTTCTTTCTTTCTTTTTAAACTTATGAAATGATGAACAACAGTAACTCTATAAACTATATGTAATGGTATCTAGAAACCAACAAAAATATAAATAACTCATGCCCAAATAAAATAAAGAATATCATAATCAACAGCTAAAAAATTATAAATATGATCTCTAGAGTAATAAGCCTTTGCATATGCCACAATAGTACAATCCAATTTCGGTGATTAATAAAATAACACAGTTCAGAACTTAATTCTGAAAAATTAAGTGATATCCAATTAAATGCCTTTGATATCATATTTTGGATATACGTTCCACTTAAAATGAGGTACGCGGAGACTTCGGACACTTAAATTTTAATAAAATTCAAGTTTCTTTACAATTAACACAAACTTCAGTTCTTCAAATTCTTTCTTCAATTTTCAGTACTGAATTTTCAATTTTATTAAAAGCACCTTCATTTTGTGCTTCTTTTATAGAGCAAAATGAAGCCCTATGAACAAAAGTGGGAAGACCTCTAGTATGACAGATATGATGAAGCCCTACCTGTGTAGAGCACAATTTCCATACAATTACAGTATCAGACCATAAAAATGATTTCACTCAATGTCCCTAATCAACGCCATTAAGATTCATCTTCATATGTTGATTTAGTCTGTTTTAACAACAGTTGAATTGACATCGTCAACTTCAAAGCATTTTTTATAGAACAGGAAAACAGATTATAATCATAATTCTCACAATAAATCAAATAAAGAGGAAATAAGAAATTACATCCTCAGTACTAATGGATTGATGTTTCCCTACCGGGAGAGCACAATTTCCATATAGAACTACAACAGCTGACACTAAAATGGTTTAATTGAAAGCTCCTAACCAGTGCTGTCAAGATTATTAGATCTTCAGATTTTGAAATCTGCTTTCACAGTAGTTGAATTGACATTAAACAACTCGAACAGGAAAACAGATAATTACCAATAATCCTCATAAAAATAAAAATAAAAAATTACATCCAAATTTGGCTTTTTCAATCAATTGTTTTTGCATCTACAAAAGAGAGTGAGAGTACCGTGAACACAAAGTTGTATCCCATCTCAAGAACAGACCGGAGAAAATCGATCCTCCTCCACATCATCTTCAAGTAGTCAGGGGTCATAAAATATGCCTCTTGAGAGAAATCAATCCCTTTAGTCACAAGGGCAAAGCAATGGGTGTGTACAACCAAACAACGAGCAAATGCCTTCTTATCCAAGGCAATGATCACCAAATGGTTCAAAAGTTTACGGGTGCGATCTCCAATTCTAAAACTCTCAAGAAAAAGATCAATGATTGAATTTGGAGCTGCCCACGCTTCATTTAGAGTTGTTAAAATAACTGTTCCATCTTGCATAGCAGCATCCTTCAAAATGCTTTCAAGCCTATACTCGTCACTATCCTACAATAGTTACAAAAGTTTTGACACAGGAAAAAATGTTCAAAACAACATTCTAGACAGAATCAAAGAGATAGATATATAGTAAGATCTTGAAGTGAAGGAGAAAAGTATTGATGTGTTTCATCTAATTTCATGGCAGCATCAATTCAAATGCAAGATTATGTAAGGTATAAAACGAATATATATATATATATATATATATAAAGAAAACATAAAAAAAGAAATCAAACACCCATGCCTCCATTGAGGCTCGAACACCCGATCTCCCATTTCGGGAGGAGGGCTTGTACCAGTTGGTGAAGCAGGACAAGTAGTGCTTTGATAGGAACCAGAAAGAAAGAAGGGGATGAGAATGAGAAGATGAGATGTGACTAACGAAGGAGGTGAGAAAATAGATGAAGGAGATGAGAAATCAGATTGAAGGAGGTAGGCTAGAGAGACTAAGGGATTTTTTTTTTTTTTTTGTGATAAGTAAATTGTATTAAAAGCGTTTAAAAGGGGAACGCGTCCCAAACTATACAAAGACAAAACGGAGCCTATGAACTCAAAGAGCTCATAAAATCAACAATATCCTCAAGAGAGGAGTAGTCTCTCCCCTGACCCCAACAAAACAAATTACAAATGATAGAAAATTTTAACACCCCAATGGAGGATTTCTTCCCCTCAAAAGATCTTCCATTACGCTCTCTCCAAAGGCTCCACCAAATACAAAAAGGGGTCACCCTCCAAAAAACACTCTGGCCTGAGCCCCCACCCATTGGCCCCTCCACATATCTAACAACTCCCGAGAGGTCCGAGGCATGACCCAATGAAAACCAAACAGGCCAAACATCAAACTCCAACAATCATGAGCCATTAATCTTGCAAAGACAACACCTATTAACAATGATATGCCTTCGCTTCCTCAAATTGTCCAAAGTCAAAATCTTACTCCAAACTGCAGTCCACACAAAAAAGGCCACCCTAAGAGGCGCCTTAGACATCCACACCGTCGTCCATGGGAATGAGGTACTATGAAAACTAGAAAGGCACACAAAAAAGGACCGGACCTGGAACATCCCCTGAGAAGAAGGCACCCAAATCAAGGAATTTGCCCCAGATCCCTCCACCTCCTGTCCGTAAAGGAGAGCCAAAAACCCAGTGACATCATCCAGCTCCCAATCCTGAAAAGCTCGCCGAAAACGCACATCCCAAGACAACCTTCCGTTATCAAGGCGATAGTAGTCAGCAACCATAGCATGTTTGTCAACAGCAATCCTGAAAAACCTGGGAAACAAAAGGGCCAAAGGCCTATCATACACCATGGATCCTCCCAAAACCGGACATTTCTTCCATCCCTAACTCTGAATCTAATATGTTTGGAAAAGGCACCCCCATCCCTTACCAATGGCCCTCCACACCCCCACTCCGCTAACAGACCTAACTGGTCTAACTGACCAGCCTCCTCTCTCCTCCCCAAAGCGACATGAGATAACCCTTCTCCATAATCTGTGTCTTTCCTTACCAAATCTCCGAAGCCACTTACCAAGAAGAGCACAATTGAAAGGGGCCAATCTCCTAATTCCAAGCCCTCCCAACCGAATAGGCCTGCAAACCTGTTCCCATTTGACAAGATGATACTTGAATTCTTCTCCACGACACCCCCAAAGGATATTCCGTTGGAGCATTTCTAGTCTTCCAACAATAGAGGCTGGAATACGAAAAAGCGAAAGAAAGTACGTTGGAAGGCTTGACAAAGTGCTCTTCACTAACGTAACTTTACCGCCCTTTGACAGATATTGTTTTTTCCAACCCGCTAAGGGATTAAGAATAGCAAGAACACGAGGGAGAAGAGATACAAAGAGAGAGGGTTCGCAAACTCAACGATAATATTCAATTTCTCAAAACTTAATTATCATATTACAAAGGAGCCTTTATATAGGCAAAATCATAACAAAACCCTAGATAATTTTTTTATTTTTATTTTTTTGATAAGTATAACAAAACCCTAGATAATAAAATCCTAAAATATCCTTCTTCTTTTTTTTTTTTGATAAGTAATAAAATCCTAAAATATCCTTAAAATTAAAACATTACTAAAAATAACCATAAGCATAAGTAAAACCCTAATTTACTAAAATCCCTAATTCTATCTTTCTTTCCCCCTTTTCCAAAAGTAGAGCTTGAACACGTGAGACTCATCATCCATGAAAATCATTATAGCTCGTTCCCCATCAGTTGGGTTTTTGCCCATTTAGTAAAAAAATTTCTTGTTAGTCAATTAATGCTGCGAAAATATTTTCAAGTACCTTACCCAAATATATATATATACATATATATATATTCAAGTAGTATAAGTTCAGAATAGATATAAAAAATCAAGGGCTGATAGCCATTATATCATAAAGAACTGGCAAGCCAAAAAAGAGAATATGAGTTCCACAACCCTGTCACATATGAAGTAATGCAATTGATTTCCGCAATGGAAGAAACAAAGTTCATAAAGCAGAAGAGAAGCCTTCCACAGCTTTGTTACGAATAGTAATGTAATAGATTTCCCAAATAAAATGAGCAAATATTACGGGCATGTGTTTGTGGAAAAAAAAAAAAAAAAAAAAACAAGCTAGCTATAAATAATTGATTTCATTCATGATTATAAGAATAAAATGAGCAAATATTATTATTTATATATATATAATAATATATTATGCTATTATTTTTTAACGTATTCCTGCCATATCCGTATCCTATTTTTTTGAGATTTGTCGTATCACCGTAGCCGAATCATGTTCTAACCGTGTCCATATCTGTGCTTCCTAAAATTAAGCCCTTGTTGGAAAAAATAGTCTGCCTCTGTCGCTCTATCCACGCACGCACACAGAAGGTGAACCCCATGGGAGACATTGCTGGTGAAACCCTAAACATATAATTAAACTACAGCTTTGCCGGAAATAGTGTAGTCAAATGGTCAAGGACAGCCTTTTTAACTTGTCTTGATGTAATTTCAGAGATTGACTGAACCGAGTTAAGAGGTGAGACACCTAGCATTTTCGGGCTTTGCTATAGAGCTAGAACCGTGAATTGTGAATAGCCAAAACGTATTGAGTGGTAAACAACCAGGCTGAAACATTTTTGACACAGAAAAAAGAAGAAGAAAACTGACGTTTTTAAATCCAGCCATTTTTTGGGGTTTACTTGACAAAAAAACAGGGTGATTGATTGGCGCCGTGGTCGAAACACCCAATCCAATCCAGTTTCTAAAACATGGTTTCAGCAACCATTTTGTCCATAAACTTTGCAGTGGCTCAATCTATAAAAATCTGCTCCAAAGTACCCTGATAAATTGGTTAGTATACATTCGAAGAGAAATCTCATCCAAAGTATGGTTTTATTAAAGTGGGCCAACCCTGAACATGTAGGGGCTCAAACTATGACCAAAATAACATTTACTCTTCCCATAGATTGTTTGTTTATTTTAGTGACATAACCTCAAACACCATGATATGCTCAATAAGGCCATCATCATCCTTGCTTTTATCCCGTACAAACGGGGTCGGCCACATGCATTCTCCTAACCACACCTAATTTCTCCCTAATCGTTTGATTATTTATCTTATCTTTGATAGCTTTTCCTAAAATCCATCTTATCTGTATTTCTGCCACATGTATGCGTTATTCATGTTTCTTTTTTAATGCCGAACATTCCGCTCCATACAGCATAGCCAGTCCAATGATTGTTCTATATACTTTTCCTATTAACTTATTTGGTATTCTTTTATCGCATAAAACCCCACTACCGTTCCTCCACTTTGTCCAACCTATTCCAATTCTACTACTTACATCATCATAAATCTCTCCATTTGCTTGGACAATTATAATTACCTTTGAATAATGCTTTGGTCTTGAATTTTTAATGCCATATTATCGTTTCTGTAACAGAACTAGATTTACATGCCATGTATTCCATTTTTGTTGTACTAATTTTTAATCATTTTGAATCTAGTGCCACTCTCCAAGCCTCTAATTTTATTTCTAAAGCTTCTTTAGAGCTATCCAATAGTACTATGTCATCCACGAATAACATGCACCATGGAAGGTCGCCTTGTAAGTCTTTGTTATTTCATCCAAGATTATCATAAATAAATATGAACTTAGCGCCGACCCTTGGTGTAATCCTACCCTTATTTCAACCAAATTTACTGAAATATGTATACTTTTTTTCCTAGTTGATACTCACACCCTTAAGGAATTGTTTACACCATGCTTCATGAGGCACGGGGACCAGGTGACTTACCCACCGAAAAGCATACTTCATAGGGTGAAAGAAAATGAAGACAAATTCTAGGTATTCAGAAAAGGAAATGATTTTAATTTCTAAAAGAATAATTCCTCATAGATACTTAGCTACAATCACAAATTCAAATTGTCAAATAAAAAAACTCTGTAAAGTAAGCTAAATTTCTTCTGCAACATTTATTTCATAACTAGAAACTAAAAATTAGCTTCAGTTACAAAATGAGATGAAACTCTGACCAAAAAGTAAAAAAATAAGTGACTAAAGACCTCAAAACTGATTCAGTAGAATGAAACTACTCATCCACAATTCCTACTTGAATCGCCACATAAAGGTAACAATGAGAGTGCGAAATCAAACTCACCAGCCGGGAATCGTCCGTAATAGAAGGAAAAACGTCGCGGAAGCGAGAGGTGGGATCGAAGTAGTTTGGAAAGAGTATACCGACAGAATCGGAGGCTCTGTAGAGGAGGAAGCAAGAGAGTGAGACGGCGCCGAAGAAGAGAGCGAGAATCAGAGTGCGGCGGAGGAGGGGGGCGGAGGAGGAGTCCGGCAGCATCTCGCCGAAACACTTACGGGCTACGGACCGGGAAAACGTCACCTGAGATCGCCTTCTGAGGAATGCAACTCTTCGGTGTCCCGAGGGTTTCAATCTCATCTATAATACGCAGAGATCGGAAGAGCATGCGTCAATATATGTGTGTATATATATACTCCGTGTATATATATAGAGAGAGAGAGGGAGTGATATTTGGAGTTTGAAATTGAGTTGACGATTCCAATCGATTTCAGTTCTTATTTTGAGAGAGAAAAATGTGGGGGTCGGAGTGCGTGAGCTAATCATACGATTCATATGGCTTCTATTTCTACAGTTTCTGGAACGGACGGACCTACAAGGACTGTTTCGACTTTTCAAATTTAATTAATTCAATTCTGTAATTTTTTTTTTTTTATATTTCATATGTGTAAAAATAAAATATGTTTTTTCTTTTTCGCTCTATCAATTTATTTAGTTTTTTTTATCTTAAGAGATAGAAAAATATAATACATTTACTCAAAATAACCAATCTAAATCAAATCTGGATCAAGACGGTTTGGATTTAACTAATTTTCTTTTTTCATTCTGAACTTGTTTGGAACCTAAACTCAAATTTGATCCCAACAAGTTGTTTTTTATTTTTAAATATATGATGACACTCTAGATTTTATTTTATTTATTATTATTATTATTATTTTTTAACCCACCCTTGATTTATTAGTATCTTTGCTCTTGCTCACTGTTTGCAAGCCGACTTGATTAAGTGGCTCATAAATTTTTCTATGATATTTATTATAGTTTATTACATTTTATTTCATTTTTATTACTTAAATAGGTAAGAACTTCAAAAAATAAAACATAGTAAAGAATGTTAGATCTAAATTCAATAATCCCTATGCAGAAATCAAGAATACAATAATAAATTAATGAGATGATTAAATAATTGTACGATGAATAGACTTTAGAATATCTTGATGCTGCGTTTGGTGTACAGGAATCGAATGAAATGCAAGTGGGAATTGAATGGAACAACCATTCTCATTCTATTGTTTGGTTATAAATATAAAATGTGTAGGAATGAAATGATAATAACTATTCTAGTGTTTGGTTGGATCAATTTTAAATTTAGAATGAAATAAATTTCAAATTAAGTTTTTCAAAATATCCCTGTTAGTAAAAAATAAATTAAATTAACAAAATGACATTTTTTTTTTTTATAATTCTTTAAAAATAAATGGTGATAATGGCAGTGGTGGAGGTGGAAAGCAGTAGTGGTGTAAATTGTGGTGTTGGAAGACGGCAGCGGTGGCAATGGTGGAAGGCGGCGGTGTTGGTGAAAGGTAGCAGTGGTGGAAGGCGGTAGCAAAAGTGTTGGTGGTGCTGGAAGGATATAGTTGTAATACCCCGTATTTTTAAAGAGTTTATTTAAATTAATTCTGTATATTTAATGTGTAGATTTATTCACCTTTTAATTATGTATGCTAAATTATTAAATTAATTTTATTTATTTGTGTATGTAACATTGATAATATGTTCTATATATTATAAAATTAGTTTATATATTTTGTTTATTATGTTTTATATTAATTAATACTACTTAATTAAAGTAGTACATTTGTAATGTAATTTATTATTGTATAAAAATAATAATAATAATAATAATGTTTCAAATGTCATGATGTAAATTAGATATTAGGATAGGATTTCATTTATGTCATATGGGTGGACTTAGATTGCATTGCCTTAAAGCCATATAGGTGGGAATGTTTGGATAGTTAATATAAGTTAGATATTTGTAATATTTATATTGTATAAGTTAGTATTTATATTAGCTTGTTAGCTTTCCAATTGAGGGCAACTCACGTAAGTAGAATAAGAAAAAAATAACAGTGAGCTATTTTAGAAGAGTGAAAGGAAAAGAGAGAAAAAGAAGCTTGGACCGGTGTAGGTGATTAAACCAGACTACGTGCAACCGGCGGATTTGTTTCAAATCCATAAGGCAAGTTATTATTTACTTTTCCCCTTTGAATCCATAAATATATTATTTAATTTATTTAGATTATTTTGGAGTATGGAAAAGCATGCTAGGATTTTAATAAATTATAATTTTAGTTTATTAAATTAGTGAAATATTAATTATGTAAGGTGTTAAATATTATTTTATAAGCCTATGTAATTAAATATAGCTAGAAATAATTATTTAAGGCTTTAGGAATTTTTTTAGAATTTTCTGGGATTTTTCTGCAAATTCCGGCGAGATTTTCGGCCACCGACAGTGAGGAAGATGACCGGAGGGATCCGGTGTGATGTGGCGCACTGTAGTTAGTGTGGGTTTGCATCCGCAGCAATTAGATTAGTTTTTGGTCAATAGATTGATCCAGTGTAGCGCATCCATAAGGGTCTGTTACAACCAACCAACCAGCACGCGCCACGTCAGTAGGAACCATTAGTGCGCGCGTAGCTAATGCCAGACGCGCGTGGGGGCGCGTGTAAGCGCATGCGCTTGTGAGGAAGGTGGCGGCGCGTGTGGGAAGCTCTGGGAGGCGCGTGAAGGTGCGTGTGGGGTCTCTGCAGCAACTGGAAAAGTCCAGAATACCCCTAGGGACTGATTTGTAATTTCCAGAACCTTCAACTTGCATTTTTGGGCCTTGGGTTGATATTTTCGGGATTCACGGGACATTAAATTATTATTTTATTACCTGCTAATTATTATTATGTCTGATTAATATTTCTAAACATTAATTATATCGTTTACAATTTAGATCCCTATGGTATAGTTGTAATTAACGTAATGACATGTTTGAATATTAATTGTGTTATTATTTAATGTTAAATGAAATGATTACATGATTTGATTCATATAAATTGTCCGTTATACATTACAGGATTATTTATGTTGTTAATGATATACAAATCATTATTATTATGCCGTGTGCATTTCAGGAGGTAAATGGACTGCTAAATAAATTATGTCGCATTTATATTATTTGGATGTGTTGCTATATAGAACCATGTGAGCTGACTAATAAGTTTAGACTCATTTATACCTTATGCATTCGTTGTCATAGACAAATATGTGGCTGTCGGGGTATGTGGTTTAATATTATTGGCATATGTTGCCTAAGTGATATGCTCAGTATATACATTAGTACCTTGAGATGTGTTACCACTGTGTAGGACTTATAGTCTGTGTTGTCAGTACCGTGCACCCTGTATTAATAACTGATTTCCCAAGTAGGGAAATGAGACACTTAACCACCTCGTGTGAGTCTAAGTGATCCCCGTCTATTCTGGTTGAGGTCATATTATACATTGCGTAGTTTCATTGGGGTGTATACAGGTATAGTATACTTCCGAATATAATGATTAGTTTATTTGATTCTCTGACTTGGGTCATAGTAGAGAGAACTTGCTCGTGGGTTTGACCCACCATTGTTGTTATTACAGGACCCTGTCAGTACCCGTTTCAAGGTTGAGGCTTAGTAGTGTGGGACCACCATCCGAACTCATCTACTCTTACGGTCCTGTTCAGGGTAGAAGTTTTATGTATTATTTTAGTTTCAGTTTTATTTACTTCCGACGTTGAACTTTCAAGTTTATATTTAGGGATCATTGATATAGGATTTGCAAGTTGTATAAAGGAGTATTGTATTTAATAAAGGATGGATGGAAGTTTTATTATTTAGTTTTCCTTTCCTGTCTGAGTTCTTCTATTATTATCATTTTGTATTCCATGCTTGTATATTACCAATTGTTTTTGATACCTCTCATTTTTCGTGTATAAGCCTGATCAACTTATGCGTGGAAAATGTGGGGGTATCACAGTTGGTATCAGAGCATTCTAGATTCGAGTGTCTTAGGGATCTATGGTTACTATATTTCCGCGTTGTGTATTTTGATAATTAGAGCCTAAGTATTATGGTTCTTTGTACTATTTTAGTCGGTCCATTATAATGTATTGACGTTAGATTTTCTAAATTCGACAAAAGGATGGTTAGACGTGGGACAAGGAGTGCGAACAAAAATCGCAGTATTTCCCCACCTCAAGATAAGAATCAAGAATTTACTCCTCAAATTGCTGATATCATTGCACGAGCTATAGCAGCAGGAGTAGCATCTGCTCTACGAAACCAGCAACCTCCTCAAATGGCACCTGCTCTTGAACCAGTAGCACAGCCAATTTCATGGGACAAAACTCGTCACTCGTTCATAAGAGGGAATCCACCATCATTTGCAGGGTCCACAGATGTCATGTTAGCATATCAGTGGAAATAGGAGAGCGAACGTCATCTTCGGATGGTAGTCTGTACCGAAGTGCAGAAACAGATGCTAACTACTTTTATGTTAATAGGCAACGCATTGCAGTGGTGGGAGTCTATCACTACCATTGAAGAGAGGACCAGATTGACATATGCTGAATTTCAGACTCGCTTTGATAGCAAGTATTTTCCCTTGTCAATAAGATCAGCAATGAAGACCGAATTTCTGGATCTACAGTAGGGGGATATGACCGTGGCCGAATATGGACAGAGGTTCACTAATTTGTCTTTATTCGCACCAGAGGAGTTTAATACTGAAGAAAAGAAGAGAGACCGTTTTGTTAAGGGGTTAATATGGCCAATTAAAATGGTGATCATAGGTGGTCCTGCATATACTACTTACATACAGGTGGTTAATGCCGCTTTACAGCACTACCAGATAAGGAGTGATTACCGGAAATCCAAGGGAGAAAAACGGGCTGACCGAGACTTCACTCACCAGACAGTGGAGAAGGGAAGTAGTAGTGGTACCAAGTTCAGTGACCGGGGCAGAGTTCAAGGACATCAACCTTGGTAGAAAAACAAAGGAAACACAGAGGTGCAGAGAGATGGGGTTCCTAATTAGGGTGGGCAAGTTGGGGTACCTCAGACGGGACAGGAACAGTTTTAGGGAAATCAACAGAGAAGGTAGACAGGTCCTTTCTAGGGACGTTGTTATCACTGTAGGGAGATTGGGCATCCAGCCAAGATGTGTCCCAAAGCTAAGCAGGGACAATATGGGTAGCCGAGACCTAATCAGCCCTTACCTTTACCGGCCCCATAGATACCACGTGGCCAAGTTCAGAACTTTCCGACACTTCCAGAACCACCACTTCCTCAGGGACAACCTCCACAACAGTTGCAGCATGGCAGAGTATATAACGTCATGCCATATAATGTGCAGTCTCCTCAGGCTATTGAGGGTATGTGATCTATACATGGTAGATCTGCTCGTATACTGTTTGACACTGGTGCATCACATTCTTTTGTGTCTAGATCTTTTGTTAT